AGTGGTGAAGATGTCACATCGGATGAAATTGCGCCTGAGGCTGCTGTGCTGCTTGCTCCGGCAGTGCCTCCTTCTGCTCCAGAAGCGACGAAGCCGGAGCTGAAGTACGTGCTGCCAGCATTGGTTACAACACTCGGAGCAGGTGTTTGGATGACACCTGAGCCTTCGGTACCACTGCCGCCACCAACTCCACCGCCGCCACCAGAGATGACGACCTGGCTTGATCGGATGGTACTCCACGCGGAGGCAGAAGTGATGACGCCAGCGCTGTTGCTCGAAATACCTCCGCTTCCACCGCCGCCTACAGAACCGGCACTGCCTGTCGCGAACGAGTAGTACAATGTCGTGGTCACGGCGGAGATTTCTGTGCCATTGGAAGCGTATGTGCTAGTGACAATGACGGAGGTAGTGTTGTAGCCCTCGGGATAGTACTGTGTGGTGTTGGTTGTCGTCGTCACGATGCTCTGACCTCCTGCACCAGCGCTCTCCACCACCCCATTCGACGTGATGTTGTTGATGGTTGAGCTCGTCGACGAGGCCGCGTAGACTGTCGTTGCTGAGGCCCATGATTGGGTGTAGGCCGTGTAGTATGAAAAGTACCATACGCCATCTTGAGTGAAGTACGTGGAGAATACAGTGCCCGAGGAGTATGTTGAGCCGTCCGAGATATACGTTGAATAGATTGTTTCTCCTGGGGCATTGACCAGCAAGCCACTGATCGGCACCTGTGGAGTAACGACCGAGATGGAAGTCGAGCTGTCAGAGAAGATCTCGGACATTGAGGAGCTGGCGTCCTCAGGGTCTAGTGTACTTGTCTCAGAAGAGAATGGTGCAGATTCAGTGTTCGTTCCGGCGGGCGTGTCCGGCGTGATGCCGACGAGAATTCTCTGCAAGATACCACTATCCACGCCAAGGGCTGGTACAGTAGTGTTCGCTGCGCCTTTGAGAAAGCAGTTGTATCCCTGGTTTCTGCGTGCATCGTAGAAAGAGAAACCCTTGCAGACCGGCTCGTCAAACCGCTGGTTGGCGGTCGAACAAGCTGCTGCACATTCGGAGTAAGTATTGAACGAGAGCACGCCATAGAAATCCGGATCAGTGATATCGGTGTCACACTTCACCAAATAGTCGAACTTTTCGTAGCCGATCAGCTGACTCACGATCGAGTTATCGTCTTCCGGGCATTGAAATCCTGGTGTCGTTGGAGCGGGTGCATTAGGAGATGTTTGCGAGGATGGTGACGGCACTGTACTATCGTCTGAAGCTGAAGGAGTGCCAGCCCTGACGGTAGTCGTCACTGTTCCAGCAGTGGCAGTGGACACAATCGTTGTGGTTTCCTGCTCATAGGCAGAGCGTGTGAGGACTCTCGGCTGCGCAGTGTACGTAGTTGTCACAGTAGGACCTGGAAAGTTATGGCATGCACATGCGCTTGCAAATGAGGCCGACACGGTGTCGTCGGAAGCATTGTTGGCGTTCGCCATTCTGCGGAAGGCCACGAGGGCATCGGCGACCTGCGCGTCAGAAAGACCTCGAGCAGGCGCGGGAGATGCATCTCTTTTGCTCAATTGAGGCACGGCAGTCACAGTGACTGTGGCGGCAGGGACGGTCGTGACACGTCTCTGCGTGAACGATTGTGTGCTGAATGTATCGATATAGGTACTGTTTGGTCGTGAGCAGATTACCCGAAAGAAGGACAACAAGACTCACCTGACTGGAGTTCGCGTAACTGTGACAGTTGTATTTGGGTAAGTAATGTATTGCTGGCAGAATGATGGTCCAAAATCTGGGTCATCTGGGTCATTGAGAAAATTGTAGTAATTGTCCTGATAGCAGGTTGCTGCCGCAGCCTTTTTGAACAGGCGATTAAAGAATTGACGGACAATGTTGTTGTTCGAAGAATCAGCGTCACGCTGCTGTGGTCCTGCAGGAGTGTTCGCGACACGAGCATCGGATACGTGAATGAGTGACAGGCCAATGGCCACAATCGCAGAGGGGCGCATCCTCGCGCAGCTGCTTTGCGGCGACGGCGAGGGTTAGGCGGTCGCTTCGAAAGAACGAGATGATGCACAGAGCTTGAACGAATTCACCAACCGCTTTACTTCTTATAATCAAAAGGGCGCTATAGCCTTAGGTTCTCGCGCGCCTTGCTCTGCAGAAGCTGGCTGGGGGAACTGCTTCTGCATGTGGTGGCATACGGAATGCCACGGCGTGTACTGCTTGGTGTGGTGTCGACCTGAGACAAATACGTGAACTGACCACAGAAGTCAAGTCATTTCGACCTCAGTCATTCCGAGGCTACGGGCAGAATGCAGATGATCGAGCAAATCCGAAATACCTTGCTGTGCTCAGTACCCAGATATCGAGACATCCGGCAAGTGCCTTGCCTCGCTTGCTTGTTGAGCATATCCAGAACAGACTGCCAGGAATGTGGCTTGTCGCGGATCGTCATGACGGGAGACTTTTGATGCCGTTGATGGCTGCGCTGAGCGCGTAGTCAAATGTCGAGCCCCGCCAGACATATTGAAGGCGCGTGTCACGAAGAGAGACATGATGTTGCGATCAAGTGCTGTGCATTCTTCGTTGGATAGAGCCGTGCTTAGGAGGTGGAGCAAGAGTTGATGTCTGTGGGTTGGAGAAAGAGCTGCACCGAATGGCCACACGGCTCCTCCCGGCACTAAATGTACCGGCCGGCGCCGACTGCCGTGACGTCGAACCCCAGCAGGGAACACTTTCACGCAACTTGTGAGACATTGCAGCAACGGCTCATCCTTTGTGAATGGAAATTTCAGCGCCGTGACCGCGCAACAAGCGGCCAGGGGAGGTATCAATGGAATGGGGGCTCTGTGCTCGTGTCTGGGTCAGCGACCTCCTTCGCAAGACGTACGTGAGCTATGCCTCTAATGGTTTCGAGATTCTTGTGGAAAGGAGTGCTGACACTACAACACACAGGGCGACTTAGACCGCATCTTAAACTCCGAGCAACCGACATATGGCACGCATGATACAGGAGGCATTATACCCCGAGATGAAGAAGAGCTGAGGAGAGAGCGCGATGCTCTTGAGTACATCACCGCTCGTGCCGCTGAGTACGTGCTATGTGAACCGGAAGGAAAGCCGCAGTACTGATGAGCACGATAGCCATATGATCGACATCATAAATCCGAGCCCGGCAGACCTTGACCAAGCCCGCATTGACGTGAGCAAGCACCGCACTTCGGACACCGGAAGCAGCTCGGCGAATGGACAGGCGCAAAACCACGAGGAAGATAGCGATGATGAGGAAGCTGCATGGCTCCGAGATCTGGAAGAGAACGATACGGATGTAGCGGCACCGCAACGAGGAAACCTCGTTATGGACATCAGTCTGCTGCGAGATACGAGTCATCAGAATTCGTCCAGGATTGAAGCAGTGCGATAGTTGGCATATGTCGCTGCTCAATCTTCTGGAAAGGCTGTGTCGTTGGCGTAAAGCTAGCGATGGTGCTTGTGTTCTGCCGCACTCGCAGCTCTGCTGCAATTCCTCAGCCACGCTGGCCTCGGGGCGCTCTCTGGGACATACGCCTCCCGGATGAAACTGGCACCGCAACACACTTCTCCAACTCTCCAGGATTGGATCGGAGACCAATGATCATTCCTTCGGTTTCGACATTATGCTCGCGTATATACGCTTCACATCCCAGCTTCGGCATTTCATTTTCTGCTATCACTGCGCCATGCTTAGATAACAATTGCTGTCTGCGCTAAGAAAACTCCACCGCGCCAGTCGAACCTCGATTTGAGCCTGTCCCGCTGTGCATGTCTTGGTCACTGGCGAGGCCTAAACTACCACAGTCGTCAACGTGAGGATCACACCCAGCAGGCATCTTTCACTGATCCACTTGGGCTCCGTCCAAAAGGTAAAGATAATCTCGCAACATTCACACCTGTGCGCGCGTTGCGCGTGTCTTCTGCGATTGAGTCTCTCAACAATCGTACGTTCGGCCACGATCGACAGTTTCGTCTCCGCTGCCTTTCTTGTATCGGAGGGACGTTGCGCCGGCTCCGTTGCCTCGTCATTGAACGCCGCCTTCGAAGGATTGCGGAAGGCAACAACCTTCTCATATAGGACGGAGAGAGCTTTCTTTCACCATAAGATGTGGTGAGGGTCAAGCCAAGTCTGCTAATTCTTGTCACCCAGAGTGTTCGCTCGCAATGGCTATTCTACCGCGCCTCATCACATCCTCCATCGTTCTTACGCTGCTCGCCAACAAATATGCGAGCACTCCGATTGGCCCTTTCTCGACTGTCGTTTTGCTCTTCCTTGCCCAGTTCGTTCTGTACCAGGCATACTCGATTCTGATATGGCCTCACTACATCAGTCAGATTCGGCACCTGCCACGTAAGTTCGCTACTGCTTCGTGAGAACTCGGAGGAGACGGCAAGTGGAAGAAGGCTGACAATAAGGCATATACCAGTCGTTCCTGAATCGCATTGGTTCTGGGGTCAGACCAAGAGAATCCTGAAAGATCCCAGTGGGACCCCAATGCGCGAATGGGTAGCCAATGTGCCGAATCAAGGATTGCTCAGATATTCTGTCTGGTTTCAGCAACGAATTCTGCTTACAACTCCAGCTGCCCTCGGAGAGGTGCTGGTAACCAAGAACTATGATTTCGTCAAGCCATGGCACTTTCGCGCTGGTCTAGGACGCATCCTTGGAAATGGTGTGCTGCTGGCTGAAGGCGACGAGCACAAAGTACAACGCAAAAATTTGTCTCCTGCTTTCGCTTTCCGCCATATCAAGGACATTGTGCCATTGTTCTGGTCCAAATCACAAGAACTCGTGGGTTGCTTAGAGCATGCATCCTCCAGCGCAATTTCTAGCGATCATGTTTCGGATCTGGAAGACGAAAACCATGAGAAAGCAGCTGCGGTACACGCTCAAGGTGCTATTGACGTTGGCAACTGGACTTCTCGTGCCACGCTCGATATTATTGGTCTGAGCGGTATGGGTCAAGACTTCAATGCGCTACAAGATCCTGACAATCGCCTGAACCGAACCTACAAGACTGTATTCAATCCAGGAAAGGCTGGAAGGTATGTCTAGGATGTGGAAAATCAGACCACTCACGTCGAGATTGTTTCGATCATGGCAGCAGCGCGGCTCATCGCATGACAACACTGACTCAATTCTTTGACAGGTTCCTACAGATTCTCGGAGTCTTTCTGCCAACCCGACTTGTCCAGCATCTGCCCATGAAACGCAACAAGGAATTGAATGCGGCATCCTTGTACATCAAACAGGTCTGCCGCGATTTAATCGCTAAGAAGCGTAGTGCTATGGCGGAGAAACGCACAAAGGACCTCGACATCATTTCTGCGGCCCTCGAATCTGGTGGCTTCAAAGATGAAGAATTGGTGAACCAAATGATGACATTTCTGGTAGCAGGGCATGAGACTACCGCCACTGCCATGGTACAGTCGACACTCTACCGTGATATCACGTTCTGCTTGCTAATCACAACCCGCAGATCTGGGCACTTTACGAACTCTGCAAACACAAAGACAAGCAACAGAAATTGCGAGAAGAGGTCCGAGCTAAGATCCCCTCGCTTGGAACTCAAGTCACGGCCGCTGCCATCGACGAATGTCATTACCTTCACGCCGTCTGCTCTGAGACCTTACGGCTCTGGGCACCCGTCAGTCTCACGATGCGAGTAGCTGACCGAGACACCACAATCCAAGGCGAACATGTTCCAAGAGGAACGACGGTAATCCTCGCGCCAGCCGCAATCAACACATCGCCACAGCTGTGGGGAGAAGACGCAATGGAATTCAAGCCGGAGCGGTGGTTGAATGCCGATGGGAAAGCCAATCAGAGAGGTGGAGCGGATTCGAATTATTCGTTCCTGACGTTTCTTCATGGCCCTAGGTCATGTATTGGGCAGAGATTCTCGCAGTATGAGCTCGCATGTCTTCTTGCTGCTTGGGTAAGTTGGACCAGGTGCTGTTACCTCGTCATGTTCTTTACTCGGCTAACGTGCGGTGTTCTAGATTGGACGATATGACACCTCGTTTGAGGAGGGGAGCGCTCTCTCCAAGGGATTGCTGGATATCAAGGTGAGTTGCGCTTGTTGCTTTGTCAGTGATCACCAAACACATGCTGACGTGCTCTAGGGAGGCATCACCGCCAAGCCAAAGGGTGGTCTATGGACGACCCTCGAGGCGGTGCCTGGATGGTGATTCAACGACAAGGAATCTGTCTACTAGTCATATATGATTTTACGGCACACAGGACCAGGCACACCGAAAGCGATTTCGCAGCCCATGACCCTTTGATTACACAACAACGTGTCACTTAGGGTTCACCCAAAGAATTTGCTGTCAATGTTACAATTTCTACTCTTGTACAGACTTTGCCATTCAGTCAATATGTATTCTGACATCCTCGATGTACCTTCGCCTTTACGCCAGACTCGGGCGGGGAGGCGGTGCCACAGTCACTATTACGGTGCTGGTTTCAACGACGATCTCTGTGCTCGCTCCTACCGGGCTTGTGTCTCCGAGCAGTGTTGGTGATGGCGTCGAAATGGACGATGACTGATTAGCGGCCGTGTCGCTCGGCACCGCGCTTCCCGCTGTGGGCGTGTTTGAAGTGCTGCTCGTTGTCGGCCGTCCTTCTGCTCCACTGGCAGACACGGATCTGGTGCTCTCCGCTGGGACGACTGACGGAACTGAACTCGACTCGGGAACATTGGCAGTCGCTGATTGATGTACTAATATGCTGTTGACAGCGAAATAGGCTTCCTGGTCACAGAAGATGCATGTCAGCATGCGGCACATCAGTCAAAAACAATTCATTTGTGGTGTTACCTTGAACGCCTGTGGGTTGTTTCCCACGTATATGTTGCAAGACGTCCATTGATTCGACGGGTCCATTACAGGGCATGAAGTATTAGAGTTGAAAGTTGGACCAGCCCACTTGTACTCGTCAGCAGAAATCTACCAAAATCAAAGGGAGACGGTTACTGACTGTGCCACAAAAATCGATGTTGAAGATCAGTTGCATGTTGCTGAAGTGCTCATCGATATTGCAGCTTCCCCCAAAATTGGCGACAGGCGTTCCGAATTCGTCTGGGTTGGGGTTCAGCGCGAGCACCGCAGGAGGGATAACAGCAGTTCGTGGGAAGAACTAGATCCTAATCGCAGCCGATGTCCACTCCATTGCGAAGACGCCCCCTCCATTTGCGTTGAAGTCGGTACCAACAGTGTTAGGCATATTTGGTGATATGTTGCAACCTTTGTATCCTTGGTCTTCCTGTGCGGTTTTCATTAGAGCGGTGTGCAATGCAGTCTCAGCGAACGACCTACACCGCAGTCGTTCGTCAGCAAAGTGCCGGTCTGCCCCGACCCGGCGATCGTGCAGTTTGGAGCGGTGTGCATGGCGAAGAGACCGTGCGAGGCATCATTCGTATATTCTATAATGTCGAGTTCGCCTACGGCTGGTCAGCTGCATGCGTGAAGGTGCCATTGTGATAACCATACCGTAGGCTGGCCAAGGAAGGGGCCCGTTTCCCAGCATCCATATTGCAGGCCAAATGCCACATACGCTGCTGGGCCTAGGCGAAGAACGTGAGCATCACATCATGATCACGGCTTCCACGAAGATGTGACTGACATGTGAGATAGATCGATAATGAACAGGCCACTAGCACACCATGTCAGATTCGAAGAATTTCTGAGGCGGGATCAGGGCGCAAGGCGCGTACTGGTTGAAAGTCTGCTTGGTGCTCAAGCGTAGACTCTTGCGGCCCTTGTTGGCATAAGGATCGTACATCTGGACCGCATCGGCGCCGAAGTATGCCACGCCATCGGTAACGTGCAACATCTGTAGCGCCTGTGCGGCTCCGCGGTCGATGTACTCGACAAAACCGAAGCTTGTGACTTGGTCAGCTCGGTTCTCATACAGCAGCCCGGCCTTTGGTTGCGCGTACGTCGGATCATACTGCGTCCAGAAGTCGAAGGCGTCAAAGAAGGTCGGCCCGCTCAGGTTAGTCTGCAGCGTGTATGGAACGGCACTGATAGCGACAGCCAGGCGGAGGACAAGAAGTGCAACGAAGGTGGTGCCCATGGTCAGTGGGTGAGATGTCTTCCTCAGCACGTCCGGTGTGAGGAAGAATTTTGCTGCTCTCGAGCAAGAAAGCCATCCTCACCCACCTGCCTACCTGCCTACAGCGCAAGATGAACGCGCCTGCTTGGTATACAAGACACGCGTCGAGCCATGAGGAAGCACGCGACCACGTGTTGGCAGCTCCGAGACAGCTGCAGACGTGGATGACGCTTTCCGACCCTGCACTTCGCGCCGCCGCCATCGGCAGTTGAGGCGCACTCCAGACCACCGCATGGATGCGACCGACGGTGTTTGTTGACCACGCCCACCGCACGCTCGCACGCTGCTCGCCTTCTCTCCACGGCCGCCTCCTCTTATCGTCGTCGCCACCACACCCGTGCGCCACCATCGTGGACCCCGCCACCGCCGCCCTTCGTCGCCTGGTGCTCCGCCGCCCGAAGCCGCACGGCCTGGGCCCCGCTGCCCGCGCAAGACTCACTCCGGCCTGCTTCCACTTACCCAGACCCAGACCCTGTTGTAGCTCTACCGAACCCTCATTTGCTCGCCGCGTACGGCTGCGCAACCTCATCAACTACCACCTTCCTTCGCCCTCCCCACGAAAAGCCGCCATGGCCGACGACATCCGCGGCGACATGACGCTGGACGAGTATGAGTTCCCACACAGGCGGCTCCGCCGCAGCATCCAGAGCAGCGACCGCACGCCATTGATCTTGGTCGCTTGCGGTTCTTTCTCACCCATTACCTTCCTCCACCTGCGCATGTTCGAGATGGCCGCCGACTACGCCCGGTTCAATACCAATTTCGAGGTTGTAGGCGCATATCTCTCATGCGTAGGCGACGCCTACAAGAAGACGGGTCTGGTCAAGGCAGAGCACAGAATCAATATGTGCACACTGGCCGTGCAACAGAGCAGCTGGATCAGCGTTGATCCTTGGGAGGCATTACACAGCGAGTATCTCGAGACGGCCAAGGTGCTTGATCATTTTGATCACGAGATCAATGAAGTGATCGGCGGAGTGGAGACCCCGGTGGGCAAGAAGAGATGCCGCATTGCTCTGCTTGCTGGAGCGGATCTGATCCAGACTATGGGCACACCCGGTGTGTGGGCCGACAAGGACATTGACTACATCTTGCGCAACTTCGGCGCCTTCATTGTTGAGGTGCGTGCCCGTGTTTGCATCTGTTCATCTGTGTTTGTTCCGGCTGACATGACTTCTAGCGTTCGGGAACCGACATCGATGAGGCCCTCGCTACCCTCGGTACATGGAAGGATAACATATGGGTCATCCAGCAACTCGTGCAGAACGACATTAGCTCGACTAAGATACGGCTGTTCAGACGACGAGACATGTCAATCCGCTACCTCGTTCCGGAACAAGTGGTGAACTACATCGAAGACCACAATCTGTACGATGAAGACGGCGCTGCTAGCAGTGGCGGAAGCAGTGAGAAGGGTAAGCGAGCCGGTGAGAGTTCCGGTGTTGCCGCGATGGAGTGATGAGGACGAATTACGATATGAACTTTTCGAAACATTAGCGCAATGGGAACGGTCTGCTTGCTACATTTCAACGCAGGACAGGCGCCAAGTACGAAGTCACGATCTTGCAAGAGCACTCGCGTGCAGGGGCCCGGTTAGAGGACATGGGCGGAACTTCTGCTGAAAAGAGTGGGACTGTGGCCGCTTCGAATCAGCTACGGATGTATGAAGGACGGTATATCCAGGGTACGAGAAGACGACGATGATGATGACAGCAATGCTTTGCCGCTTAAGCCGTCGTCAGTCTACATGTATTTGTTATTTGCAGCGCACATACATGTAATGAAGCGTCGAGGGGCCCAAAGGTGGGGCACAACAGCTGATGTCATCCACCTAAAATCAATGCTTCGAGCTCACATTAAACACTTCATGTGCCGACTGCCACTGCTCTTGCAATCTGCTCCATGCTCTCTGCACTTCAGCGTGCAAAATTGACTACCCAGCACATACTCAATACCTCCCCACGAAGACTCGCCACCATGACGGACACGTCGAAGTACCTTCTCAACCACACGATGCTCCGCGGTAAGCGTGGCTCGCGCCTCCGCCTACAAACATTGCACTGACCTTGTCCGCCTCTCAATGTAGTCAAGGACCCCCAGAAATCGGTCAAGTTCTACGAACATCTGGGGATGTCGCAAGTGAACAAGTTTTCCTTCCCGGATAACAAGTTCGATCTCTACTTCCTGGCTTATGACTCTCCCAAAGCTGCATCTCACGGCAACCACTGGACGGACCGACAGGGTATCATCGAGCTGACGCACAACTACGGCACGGAGAATGACGACTCATACAAGCCGAACAACGGCAACAAGGACCCTGGAAAGGGCTTCGGACACGTCTGTGTCTCCGTCGACAATATCCAGGCAGCTTGCCAGAGACTAGAGGACGCTGGGTACAAGTTCCAGAAGAAGTTGAAGGACGGAAGGATGCACCACAGTAAGCTTATCGTGCCTACTTCGTCTGGCTTTGAGAGATGCTGACCTTTGTGGAATAGTTGCTGTCAGTGAACACTCGTGAGCCGGAACGTAACCTTGTTGGGGCGTAACTGACATCTGTTCCATAGTTCGCTCTGGATCCGGATGACTACTGGGTTGAGATCATCGCGATGAACGATGTGGAGAAGACCGAGAACGTCAAGGAGACCGACATCTCGACCTACAGGATGAACCACACTATGATACGCGTCAAGGATAAGGACGTCAGTCTCAAGTTTTATCAAGAAGTTATGGGCATGACATTCTTGCGCGAAAGTGGTGGTTCAGACTTCACTTTGTTTTTCTTGGCATATGGTCCAAAACCTCAAAGTGACAAGTCGGCCAATGGCACGAACCCCGTTGGTATGTATATGAAAAACGTGTCTCAGATATCTTGATATCTTTCACTAACTACATTTGGCAGCTGATCGCGAAGGTATTCTGGAGTTGACCTGGAACCATGGCACAGAGAAGGAGAGCGGCAAAATGTAAGTGGAAGAATAACCTGGAGGCTTTCTCCAGGAAAGCCGAATCGGAATGAATGACATTCATCTGACTGAAAACGTCTAGTTATCATGACGGCAACAGTGAGCCACAAGGCTTTGGTCACATTTGCATCTCGGTGGATGACCTCGATGCCGCTTGCAAGAGATTCGAAGAGCAGGGAGTGGAATGGAAGAAGCGACTCACTGATGGACGCATGAAGAATGTAAGGCACCGAGATCCCACTATTGCGACATTTGATACTTCTGTGGCCGCATGCTGACTTAATGCTCTAGGTGGCGTTCATTCTCGATCCGGATGGATATGTGAGTACTTCCGCAAAGATAGATCTTCCATACAGTGCATCAGCTAACACGATTTCAGTGGATCGAGGTTATCCAAAACGAGCGCTACAAGCCAGCTCCAGGCAATTACTAGCGATCGCAAAAGAGGAACGAATGTAACGACGATACGTACCAGAAGTGGAGCATAGTATGCAGCCAGACTCCTGTAAATGAAATTGGAAGGAAAAGGCTGGAATTGTGAAAGCCTACATTGAGACCGAAAGTCCGCGCGAGAACCATGACATGAATCGCAAAAAAATTCTAAGTATATCCTACTTTAGCTACTGTCGCTGTGTTGAACTTGGGTCAAACGAAGAGCATCGTACTACTGGGTTGAAAGCGCAGGGGACAGCGCGGCTCTCATTTATAGCGCCACAATGCCTACTTCGAAGAGACCACTCTCATTCAGTAAGTCCTGCTTGACAGCGTCGTCGATAGCACGATCCACGCCAAGAATCATCAGAGCTTCGTTCTCTTTGCCGTCGAGACTCGGCACTTCATCCGCTGCTGCACCAACAGGAGGTTTGCCCTCGTCGATAGGAGCAACACTCATGAACTTGATATTCACGCCTGCAACGCCAAGTTTCGATCCCACAGCGCCAATCTTGCCAGGGGAGTCGAAGTTCCTGCAGATGAGAAGAGTGCCTTCTGGCACGAATTGGGTGCTGAAACGGCCCAGTCTCGAAATGTACGGAGTGTTGTTTGAAACGAAGCCAGAGATGACCTGGTCTTCGAGCTTCTTGACGCGTCCTGTGGAGGTACGTTCGATTTCTGGGCGAGTGGTCCTGCTTGCGGAGGGTGATCTAGGATCACGGCGAGCACGGAGAGTCACAGATGCGGAGTAACCCTCTGAGCCTTCGACTTTATCCCGAGCACGTTGCTCATTGACCAGGATACCACGCTCTTTAGCGACGAGCTCGGCATTGACGATGTTGATATTGGTATTCTCGGCACTGGTGATAGGCTGCAGGAGACCTTTAATAAGTGCAGCGAAAAGAGGCTTGGTCGTGTTCGTGCTAGCAAGGGAACCCTCGTAGGTCAGATCGAACGTTGTACGCATACGCTGAGCGGTATTGGAAGGGCCGAAGTGTTGTGTGTACAGACTGCCTATCTTCTCCAGAAGCGACACGAAAGGTGCAAGAGTCCGGAATTCTTCGGCCAGAATGATCGGTGCGTTGACTGCGCTTCGAGGAAGCTGGCCTGAGAGAATGGAAAGGCATTGTTCGCACACGTCGATCGAGACATTTTCCTGGGCCTCTACAGTCGACGCGCCAAGATGTGGTGTTGCGACAACTTTGGGATGAGCGATCAACTTCGAGGCTGCGTCATCTTCCTTCGGAGGCTCAGTAGAGAAGACGTCGACACCAGCGCCAGCGATGATGCCTTCTTCCAGGGCCTGGCATAGGGCTGCTTCGTCAATGATACCACCACGAGCTACATTGAGTACTCGTGCGGTCTTCTTCATTTTTGAGAGCTCAGGAATGCCGATCATGCCGCGCGTGGATGCAATCATCGGGGTGTGAATAGTAAGGAAATCGGCCTGCGCCAGTAGTTCATCCAGTGAGTCCACGAGCTCCACGTTTGCTGCAGCAGCTGCAGTGACATTGGCATAGGGATCGTACGCCACGAGGTTCATTCCCAAGCCGCCAGCAGAACGAGCAACTGTCAGGCCCACTTTTCCCAAGCCAAGAACACCGAGCGTTTTGCCCTTAACCTCGACACCTACGAGCTTGCTCCGTTCCCATTTGCCAGCTTTGATCGAAAGTGACGCTGCTCCAATGTTACGGGCAACGGCCATCATCAAAGCAATCGTGTGCTCAGCTGCAGCGTTGATATTTCCCTGTGGACTGTTGACGACAATGATGCCAAGTTTTGTGGCCTGCACCTATGAGCTGTCGTTGAGTGAAAGTAGTTGAGATGAATCTACGTACCGCCTCCAAATCCACGTTATCAACTCCCACTAAACGCAAGTGTCAGCAAAATCTTACAACAGTCAGCAATTGGGATGCGAACCTCCAGCTCTGGCAACAACACGCCTGTAGCGAGCACGTGCAGGTCAGTTTTGTGTTTCTAATCCTCAATGTGTCGCGTGTGAATGTTCATACAACTTCTTGCCAGCTGCTAGCAGCTGTGCTGTCACTTTGGTCTCTGATCGTATGATCAAAGCATCATATTCGCCAATGATCTCTTCCAATTGTTCTGGCGTCAGGCCTTTCTTCTCGTGTACTTCGAGGGAGGCTTGTAGCAACTTCAGGCCATCTGGAGAAACTTTTTCAGGAATGAGGACCTTGGGCCTGGCGTGGCCGTTTACGAGCTGTGCTGCACTCATGGCGGCTGAGCAAGTCCCGTACCGAAGGACGTCTGAGAGTCGTTCTGACACGAATAGAGTCGATGTAGATTGTTTTGTTAGAAAGTAGTCGTCACGTCGCCCGGTTTGTTTCGATGACCGATGCCGGCAATCAGCAAGTTTCAAATGTACCAGTAGGCTTGTGCGATATGCAGATCCCAAAGCCAAAAGCCCAGACTCATAAGCACCGTGTGAGAGCTCACCCCACCCCACATCCCCCGCCACGCCAAACGAGCACCATTGGCGCTAAATCGTTCGTTGATATTCTGAGCGCTGCTGTGTAAAGCATCGCTTCTTGGAACAATTTGTCGTCTCAAAATGTTATCGAGCCCTCGGGCATTCGAAAGCCAGTCGCCTCAAAGTCTCGAAGAATGACATCAGCCAGCCCGTCAAGCTTCTTTCGCTGCAGCTTCAACGCATTCGAGCCGCCTTTGCTGACGTTCGTGTCTGATGCTACGTTTGACGTGGCCGAAGAGTCTCCCGCAGTTTGGTTTGACTGCAGCCGAGCGCCATTTGCGCCTTCTGCTGTGATCGTTTTCACAAAGACCGCTCGTCTGGGTGGCACACCACCCTCCAAGACCAGAAGAAGCTGTTTCTGTATCTGGCGCATGATGATATTTGACACTTCTGATTCTATGATCAGCGTATGCAAGGGATTCTGCTCGCCGTCCTCCCGGATCTCGCCCGGATAGTCTGCTCCATTGTCTCCTCGTGCATCCTGGGAGCGGTGTTCTTGCCAGCAGATGGCGGCGATTGCGGCTTGTTTGCGCAAATCGTTGATGTCCACGGGCTGACTGTACGCCAACAAAGTCCCATTCGGCGTCATGAGGTACCAGCGCTTGCACAGCTTGCCATCACGGTTGCGCGACAGCAGCTCGTTGATGGCCTTGGAGTTGAGCATGCTGCGCACTGCAGTAGTGGTCGCCAAGTCAGACTGCGAATTCGGTGAACATGAAATGTCTGTCCCTCCAGCAGGTCGTGGATTGTGATGCACGTGGAATCCACCTCGTCTTGGTAGAGTTGCTCTCACCTCCACAGTCGACGGATGGCGCCCGACAGCTACAAGGGGTTTAGCTTCCTTGGCAAACCTACCGACTTCTCCCCTCGTTAAGGTCAGTCCTTTACGACCAATTGCCTATCCATGCGGGACGGAGGGCGCGTGTGGAGGCATATCGGACACAAATGAGCCTACGCGCAAGTTGTCATGCAGGCTTCCAGCTTGTGATAGACCACTTTGCACCAACCTGGCATTCTTAAAAGAGCTGCCCATCCGCCAGCGGTGAACTTCACCTGAATTGACCAACATTCCCGACTTCCACTTGAGCGGAGGTATGCAGGTGTGAATGGCGCAGCTAAGGTTGGAGTATCCAGAAGGTAGAGCATGAATGTGCGAAGAGTCTCTCCGTGGTGGGGCATATCTGTACTGCGAGCAATGCTCCGTCTTCACACGAGCGGAGACAAGACAGAGGGCACAGCAAGTATCTGCATAGAACTCGTTGGCGCTTACCTCCTAGGAGGCATGATGGAGTTCGATCTTCTCCTCCTCTTCCTGAACGCAGGCCATCAATGTGTGGTTAGGAGTCACTGATGGAGCGGCGTTTGCGCGTGCCAAGTCGAGCTCGCAGCGGTGAACTGTATTGGCCGCACGATGAGAGCGAGCGAAGACGCACACGCTCACCAGTTTCACGACGATTCGCTGCATCTCTCAAGTCGACCTACGTGTGTCCATTGCCATAAGCATCGGAGCGGAAGAGCGCCGTGTAGTCTACCGTCGGAGCGCATGTGCCAAGGCCCGGCCCATAGGTAGTTCGGGCTTCCTCTGGACACTGACAGCATCGTCCAGACGCCGAAGCGAGCACGTCTGTCTGTCGCAATCACCACCCACTCACCCACTCCTCCTCCTCCGCTGCTGGCCGGCGCTTGTCTTTCTCGCAGTCACGGCCGCGCACCCTTCACGCTCGCACGAACACGAACACGCTCGACACGACCCGCCCCGCCCACAACGACCGTCCGACGCGCTCATGGGGCTCTCATCCATGGATTGACATGACTGAACACCATCACCACTTCCATCGCCCACCGCCCACCTCGCACACCTCGCACACCAGGTACGATCGCTCTCTGCGGCCGTCTGCCCGCGCTCCACCGTCGCCAGAGCGGACTTCAACGCCGCCGCTGCCACTGCCTCGCTGCTGCTGCTGCTGCTGCTGCCGTCGCCGTCACCGCTCGCACCAACTTCAGCGGCAGTGTGCACATCTGACTGGAGTCTGCGGATAGCAGCTGCCCTTCTTATTGTGTCCTGCCACCATCCTTTACATCCTCAGTCTGACTCTCATGCCTCAAAGCCAACGAGTGACGCGCTCCGCGACAGCGAGGCTGCACGCCGACTCCGTCGACAACAACAGCTCCGCCGCCCTCACCTCCGCCGCCTCGTCGAGCAGCACGGCAACCTCTCCT